TTTTTTTTTTTTTTCGTCTTGCCGTTTCCATTTCCTCGTCTACCTTTTGTTCAGCTAAACATCAAATTTCCACTAAATTCATATCGGATATACAGCATTCTAATAACCGTCTCAACAATATAGGCAATTTAATAGCAGTAAACTGCCCAATGGTAGCCAATAACAACAAAACAGTAGTACTAACAATGCTAATCGCCCACCGATCAAACTATAAAAACGATTAAACTATCCTATAGCACAACTTTTTTCTTCTCCTTTTTATTTTAAGCATATTTAAGAGAACAGAAAAAAAAAGCAAAATTTTTAAAAAATATAATGAAAAGAATCTTTCTTTCTTAAGCTCATCAGACTAATACTAACACAAACGGACAAATATAAATAGATAACCAAAAAGATAAAGAAGGAGAAGAAGCAGCAATTTTTTTTGTTTTAATACAACCAATAGTTTTTTCTTCTTTATTTTTTTCCCCACAGCTTATTTGTTTATTTATTCATTTGTTTGTTTGCCTATCCTTTTTTTTTTCTCATTTGGCCTTCAGCTTTACATCTTTCTAATTGGAAAAAAAATTAAAAGAATTTAAAGCGGAAAAAAACTGAAGGCACAAAAGATGAAGGAAAAAAATATAGCATAAATAATCAATCATCTTTGTGATACATTCCATCCTTTTTTCCTTCCCCTTCCCCTCTCTTTCTTCCGATATGATAGATGAGTATAACACGAAAAAAAAGTAAGACGAACAAAAAGATGAGCAAAGAAGAAGAAACGATGGTTTTCTTCCCCTTCTTCAATGTCATCTTCATCATCATCATCATCATCTTTTTTTTCTTCTTCCTTTTCTTCTTACTCTTCCTCTATTTCTTCTTCATATTGATGTCTTTTTCTGCTTAATTGTGTATAAACTATCTACGCTTTTTCTTCCTTTTGTGCTTCTTTCATTTCCTTTTACCAATGAAATATCACTTCAGAAGAATATTTGAAAAAAGTAAAAAAATGCAAAGAAGCCAAAAAGCAGTCGAAGAAAAAAAAAATGAAAAGATTGTGAAAAATAGAAAGTACAATGAACCTGATGTGGCGATTCTGTACGAAATATGTGGCATAATCGCCGATACGTTTCTCCAGCCGGTTCCCTCGCAACATAGGCAACCTGGCATTGCTCGATACGGCCAACAACACCGATCACACGTCTGATATTATGACTAAGCAAAAGGCGCTAAAAAAAGATTATTTTGTTCTAGCCTTCCAAAGTTCAAAAAAAGAAAAAAAAATTTTGTTACTCCAATAAACATAAACTGTCAAATATGAAAAAAAAAAAGAAATGATTTAGGAAGAACGTAGTCAGTTTGTCGGTGAAATGAATAGCTGATTGAACGAAAGAGGTTAACAAAAGGAGACAAAAAAGCAGCACCGGATGTTGACGACACTGCTTGAATCATAGCACCAATAATTTTTACAATCATTTCACTTTTAATGGCGCCGACAATAAAAATAATCAGTTCACACACCACTCATTAAATTATCCCCTCTACATAAACCATCCGTTTATTTCTCCAAAGTTTTTCAAAACGATTTTGAACCGTGCTTAGATTTGCCAAGTGTTTGGTGATATTTTAAAGAAAATATACAAGCTGTGCAAGTGTAAAATAATATTACAAAATAGCTAAAAAGTTATAAGATCCTAAAAAAACAACAGCTTTCTTTCTACTCCCATGTTTCTGCATCGTTCTTGCTGTTCAAGTCGTCATATGAATCTTTAGTTTTGAAGGGAAAATTTTGCTTTTCCCACTTGTTTTGTTTTTCCTTTCCTTTCCTGTTCAAATTCTTTGCTTTGTTTTCTTCTTCTCATTGACGGTTTTAGTAATATAATGGAATGCAACAAGATATGCAAAAACAAAAATGATTAATCATTATCCTCATCGTCAGTGACCAGCAAAAAATTCTTCTTTTGCTGCAATAAGATTAAATCAAATAGAAAAATTGAATTATATTTTAGAGAAGGTGAACATATATATTAGAAGACACAATACAAAATACAATACACAACAGATGGTTGTCGAAATTGACCAGCTGATCGGTTTATTAAGGCAACGAAAACGTTGAACATTGCGACGATGACGATGATCAGTTTGGATATTTGAGGGTGAGAAGGACTTTCACAGTGACAGCACTAATAACGACAACAATAAAACAATGTACACAGTATCATTGCGGTATTTCTTTTTTTCCTGATCATTCATCCGTACATCCCAAGTATACCATCATCGTTCGGCACCAAAAAGTAGCACAGTTGTTGACGATATTGTTAATTAAAAATTTCTTAACAACAACAAAAAAGATGAAAACAAATAAACATAATTGATTCATACAATTTTCTTTCGTCAAAAGACGAAACCACAAGACATCCAACAACAGTATTGTCCATCCAATTATCGCCAATTTCAACTGTCAATTTGAATTATTGTTTATTTTTTATTTCTGCTTTATAGTTTCTAAGCTGTTCAAACCGTTCAGTGATTTCAATAAATTCAAAACTTATGAAAATATCTGTTCATCAGCTCTTTAATCTTTTCGTCTTCCTGCATCATCAATATCAAATTTATCACATTATCTTTCCACCATTACATTTCTCCTTTCACAACCCATTAATTAATAGGCGATAACAAAGATGAACATTGTAAGTAGGAATGTAGCAAATTTTATGCATTTTTTAAAACGAAAAAAAGAAAGAGTTAAGGAGGGGAGGGAAGGAAAGAAGAAAAGGGATGTACATTGATGAAAGAAGAGGCAGATATATTGAGAAGTCAATAAAATTTTTCCAAATTTATCTGTTGGCAACATATGGAGAGTGCAAAAGAAAAAGAGAAATAAAGAGAGGTATATAACAAAGAAAGGAAACAGAAGAGACAGTAATGCGGAAAAAATAATAAATATAAAAAAAAGCAAATAAATTTTACAGTTAAATATCCAAATTTTTACTCAATTAAAAATTAACAAATGTTTAATTTGAAAAACGATCAATTCTGTCCATCTTTTGCTATTTTCCTCCTTCCATAAATTCCAAACAATATTATATTGCAGAAGAAGAAAAATGCTTTCCAATTATCTGTCCCTTTCCTTCCCCTGTCCACAATCCTCTCTTTTTCACGTTTTCGGTCTATTGTCCCCAATTAAAGAGCAACAAATTTCAGTTAAGCAACGAAAATTGAAATCACTCAGAGAGGAAAAAAGGATAAGACGTTTGAAAAAACTCTAAACTCTACGTTTTTGCGGTATTTCTTTATTCAGACACTTTTTTATTGTTCACTTTGATGACAAAAAAATTTGTTCTTTTCAACTTCTGCTCCTTTTCCTTTGTCCGTCTCCACTCAAAAATGTGCACTTAAAAATTGCCTAAATCTGTTCAACATACTAAACTT